CCTAGGACGGCAACGCAGAAGGATACAGCACCGCATACAATGGTACCAATCCCCCTTATGGACTTGTCAGATATGGAAATGTTCTCTGTTCCCAGATCTCCACTGTTCGGCACTGCTTGCTTGCCATTACTGCACTGGACCAACCAGAATCTCCCAGTGCTCCACATTTTTCGAGTGATGAGGAGGACAACATGGAGGAGGCAGTTTTCTCATCTGAACACTCCTCCCCAGCAGGAACCTCGTTATAGACCCAGGGAACAGAGCACCAGGGACTTCCCCCCATGGCTCACTAATCCATGGATGTGCCCTCCCATTCCATTTCCCATTCAGTGGCCACAATGGGACCCATGGGCAGCCTACAGGACTCAATTTCACAGACCTCCCACTTCCCACAGGAAACCCATACGCTCTGTAATGACATTGGTACCCGAGCCCTCTGAGGTGACAGAGGAGGTGGAGAAAGATAGGGATGAGACCACAGAAAATTAAACATCCCCTGATCACAACTCCTGTTCCGCTGATGAGGCAGTTATGCCCCCGCCTCCCACTAGTACAGACGATTTCAAACACTTTCAAGACTTATTCCGGTGGGTGGCATAGAGCCAAAATATTCCTCTTGAGGAGGTACCAGGGACGCAACACCAACTCCTCAAGATCCTACACACTTCATCAATGACAAAAATAGCTTTGCCCATAAACGACACTCTGATGGAACCTTTAGAAACGGTGTGGCAAACACCTGCCACCATCCCCCCACCCATAAGCATATGGACAGGAAATACTATGTGCCAAATAAAGTCATGGACTTCCTTTTTTCACACCCACAGCCTAACTCCTTAGTGGTGGATGCGGTCAACCAGTGGGGCAAATATCCTCAATTCAAATCCACACCACAAGACAAGGATTGGAAGAGACTAGACCTCTTGGGGCAAAAAGTTTACTCTTCTGCGACTCTTGAATTCCACACAGCCAATTTCACATTGTGTACGATCATGATAATTATATAAAACTGAATGATTTCATCCAGGAAATTCCAGAGGAAAAAAGAGACCAATTCCATGCCACTGTCAATGAGGGACAACGTATTGCTAGAACAGCGCTCCAGACATCCCTCAATGTGGTGGACACAGTGGCATGCATGACGGCAACAGCTGTCGTCATGCACAGAGCATCCTGGTTGCACTCATCTGATATCCCAAGGGAACTCCAGACCAAGGTAGAGGACATTCCCTTTGACAGGGACAAGCTCTTCTCCGCTAAGAAGGATGAGGTCCTCCATTCCATGAAGGCCACACTGAGGACCCTCAGGATCTACACACACCCTAACAGGAGATGCAGATACCAGCCTTACAATGGTAACAGAGACAGCACGTCTCAACGCCAGCAGAGACCATACGACAATCAAAGACAAAGGCACAGACCACAGAGATATTGCCTTACCCAATCTCAGGCTGCGACGTCCCAAGCACCACCAAACAAGACACAATTTTAAAACATTGATCAAGGGTCTGACCGACCTCCCCCGACCATTAGCGCCAATGGAACAAACGATCCAAAACTTTGGTCATCAGCTTCGACCATTTTACCATCCGTGGGCCTCTGTCACCACGGACCATTGGGTTTTAGAGATCATTCGAATGGGTTATACCATCCCCTTTACCTCCATCCCACCTACCCGTCTCCTCTTCTCCGTTCCTCTTCAGGGACCCTTCTCACAAGCACCTATTGAGACAAGAAGTACATCACCTTCTACAACTAGGGGCGGTGGAACAAGTTCCAACACAACACAGGGCAGGGATTTTATTTCCATTAATTCCTGACTCTAAAAAGAAAAATGGATGTTGGCAACTCATACTAGATCTCAGAAAACTCAACAAATTTGTCCGTACCCACAGATTCAAAATGGTCACACTGAACTCTATCATCCCTGCGCTGGAAGAAGGTGACTGGTTCTAAACCTTGGACCTGCAAGATGCGTATTTTCACATTGCCATCCATCCCGCTCACAGACGATTTCTATGATTCACAGTGGGACAAGATCACTTCCAATACAGAGTACTGACATTCGGACTGTTGACCGCTCCATGTGTCTTTACCAAAACCCTAGTGGTGGTAGCTGCTTATTTGCGCAGACAGGGAATATTGATATTCCCATACTTAGATGATCACCTGCTAAAAGGCCGTACCTTGACAGAAACATTACGCATTACTCGAGAAAACATCTCTCTTTTTCACTCCCTAGTGCTACAAATCAATTAAAAGAAATCTATCCTAACTCCAGTACAATGTTTGGACTTCATAGGAGCACACCTGGACTCAGTGGAGGCTAAAGCATCACTCCAATACCCCGATTCACAGCAATGACCTCCCTCATGTCGGTGGTCTCAGACAGCCCATGGGTGTCTGCACACACCTGCCTACAACTCTTGAGACATATGGCAGCTACCACTTTCGTTGTAAAACACGCCAGACTCTACATGCGCTGCCTTCAAGGATGGCTGAGCTCGGTATAGATTCCACAAAAGCACAGCCTAAACAAAAGACTTACACCGACCCCAGAGGTTCTACATTCACACACGATAGTGGACAAACCCAATAAACGTTTGCTCAGGCATCCCATTTCAACAGGATCCACCATCCATACAAATCACAACAGATGCTTCACTGATCGCATGGGGAGCTCACCTAAACCAATATTCAGTCCAAGGCAAGTGGTCCCCACTGAAACACATTTACATATCAACCCTGCTCAAATTACGCACGTTCCACAAAACATGCCTTCATTTCCTCCCTCTTATATGAGGCAAAATTATAAGGGTTCTGACGGACAACATTGTGTGTATGTTCTGTATAAATCAACAGGGTGGAGCATGTTCGCACTCCTTATGCACAGAGGCCTTAAAACTATGGAACTGGTGCATAAAACACAACATCACTATTACAGCAGCATACCTCCCGGGTCGACTGAACATGACGGCAGACACATTAAGCAGACAATTTTCCCAAGAGCACTAATGGGAACTGAATGACGAAATAACACAACACATATTTTACATATGGGGATCCCCACACATAGACCTGTTCACGACATCAGTAAACAAGAAATGCCCAAAGTTTTGCTCACGAACAGGACTAGGGGCACGATCCCTAGGGGACACTTTTCTCATCAAATGGAACGCTCCCCTTCTGTACACATTCCCATCAATACCTCTAATCTCCAGAGTAATACACAGAATACAAACCGACAGGACCAAAATAATACTCATAGTACCAACATGGCCCAGACAGACATGGTTCCCTTACCTGACACCCATAGTGATCTGCACACCGTTCACTCTCCCTGGCCTATAGAATCTTCTCTCTCAGGACGATAGTCAAGTCCTCCATCCAGACCCAGAGAAACTTCACCTGAAGGCGTGGCTCCTTCATGGCTCCACCACGACGAACTAACCTGCTCAGAACATGTAAAACAAGTGTTAATAAACAGCAGGAATCACAACACGCGTACTACTTACCTCCAAAAATGGAAAAGATTCTTCCTATGGTGCCAGAATAAACAAATATCTGCAAGCAAGGCACCACTTCCACTAATCCTGCAATATTTATTATCCCTAAAGAACTCAGGGCTTACTATGAGCTCACATAGAGTTCATCTTGCCGCCATCACGGCCTTCCATCAACAGGTAGACAGGACTTCGATATTCGCTCACCCGATTACTAAGCAGTTTCTCGCGGGCATATAGAACATATACCTAGATATCTGAGAACCCATGCCAGTATGGGACTTAAATCTGGTGCTCAGAAGTCTAACCAGAGCCCCATTCGAACCCTTAGCCACATGCTCATTACTTCACTTATCTATGCAAGTGGCATTCCTGGTCACCATTGTATCAGTGTGAAGAGTCAGCAAAATAGGGGCTCTCGTGGCTCACCCGCAATACACAATATTCTTCAAGGATGAAGTGACACTTAGAACACATCCTAAGTTTATGCCCAAAATATCGTCCTTGTTCCATCTCAACCAACTGATTCACTTAACTACATTTCATACAAAACCACACACTAACGCTCAAGAGGCGGTCCTACACACACTGGACATGCACTTAGCATTTTATCTATTTGGAACGAAGCTCTTCCAATTGACTTTTTACTTTTTGTGTCAACAACAGAACGATCAGAGGCTCTGCCATATCTACGCAAAGATTATCGAAATGCATATCCAGCTGTATCCATATGTGCTATTCACTGCACAACACTGAAGCCCCTCCGGGCATCAGAACCCACTCAACAAGAGCTTTTTCTACATCCATAGCATTCCTACACAATGTGCCCATTCTAAACATCTGCAGGGCGGCCACCTGGGCCTCTTAACACACATTCACAAATCACTACACAATTACTCTCAGTTCAAGCTCAGACACAAGACTAGGCCTCACTGTACTAGCCTCAGCAACAAACTGAACTCCGAATGACTTTCCGTCCTCATGAGAGCACTGCTCTACATTCACCTGAAGTGGAGCACCCACAGGGACAGCACTCAAAGAAGAAGAGAAGGTTACTCACCTTGTGCAGTAACTGAGGTTCTTTGAGATGTGTGTCTCCCTGTGGGTGCTCCACTACCCACCCTCCTCCCCTCTAATTCGGAGTACGAGCTAAACACTCCACGGTAGAGAAGGAACTGAAGGGGTCGGGACCTAAGCATGCTAGATGAGGCACCAGCGGCACTGCGAGACTGCTACTGCGCACACACACCCCGACCAGACACTGCTTCTGAAAATCTCCGATTGACAGCACCGAGACGCACCAACACCTGAAGTGGAGCACCCACAGGGACACACATCTCAAAGAACCTCAGTTACTGCACAAGCTGAGCAACCTTCTCTTAAACTTTGAACTAAATGGCTATGATTTTTCACAATTGAAATCAAATAGTTAAATTTTTCTATAAATGTGTTGAAGTTCAAGAAATGAATGAAAGAAAACATATTCTCTTTCTCTAGGTATTCAGACCTCTACTAGATCCAGTTACTGGTGGGAATAATTGTATTTGTTATGACCAATTCAAAGGAATGCTTAATAGTTGTGTACAGTCACAAGCCTTGCCAGGTACCTCCAATGGTAAGTGTTTGGATAAGTCACCTACTGTGAGTTTGATTTTTTTAATTTGGTCTCCTCCTATCTACAACTGACAGTATAAATGATTGACTGTCCCTGTATGATTTCTAGTTTATTTTTCTCCTCTAAGTTAATTTTTTGTTAGCACTCATTAAAGCGTGATGGGATTGGAGATGGAAGTCTTCTATTTATCCATGCATAAGAGTATGTTTATGTTATGGAGGTCATCGAAGTCACGGAATCCTTGACTTCCAGAGACCTCCATGACATTCTCTGCCTCAGGCCCAGGGGCCCCCTGTAAGGTTCCAGTGACAGGCAACAGCCTCCTGAGTGGGCCCTCGGGGTTCCAGCAACAGGCGACAGCCTCACGCGGTAGGGTGGGTAGGGGGCGCCTTTGGCGAGTGGCTAAGGGTGTCCAGTTTTTTCTTTGGGAAATTTGGCCCCCCCTTCAGCTCCCAGCCACCGTGGTTGGAGGGGGCCCCCCTGCAGCTTCCAGTTGCCACAGGCAGAGGGGGAACCCCACAGCTCCCAGCCACCATGGTGGTAGAGGAAACCATGGAGCCGCATCAGCAAAAGTCACAGACAGTCACGGCTTCCGTGAATTTTTGTTTATTGCCCATGACCTGTCTGTGGCTTTTACTAAAAATAACCATGACAAAATCTTAGCTTTATCCATGCAGCAGTTACAGCAGTGCAAGCTTCTCCACATTCCCTTATCAGTGTGCCTCAGCCCCAATTTAGGAGGAGCTGCTGCTCTAGTTAGGGATAGGGAGATTATCAGTCTTCAGGTTATTTTAGATCTTGACCTCTCTGCTGAGTCTGCCAGCAATGAGTGCCACTTGTAATTGGGAATGTGTAATGTGGATGCTTACACATTAGAAACAAGACAGCAATCATAAGCTCAAGTGACATAAGCCACTGAACAGCTATTAAATGGGAATGATTTTTGGTCATTACTCACAAGGCCCAAATTTGAACCAGTTACTGAAAGGTAAGAAGTATGATATACCATCACCAATCCTCTGAATTGTTCCCCAGTGCTCTGATTTCTGATTGCACGTTAGCTTTGTGACCTTTGATCTTGCTATGTGATAATGTGGGCTTTACATCATGGAGGTTGAAAGGAATTGTTTTTAATTTCTAGGCAGTATTGTTTCTATCCATGTACCTCTATTTACTTTGATGTCTATAAGGAAGCTGAAGAAGTTTGAAAGAGAATGTGTTCAAAAAAATTATCGTAGCTCAATGGTTATCTTGAAAAGTGAAGACATCAAGTTCAATTAAAGGATAGTTTTCTCCCTGGTCCTTTAAAAAGATACTGCTCAGGTTCAAGTAGGTAGGAGTGATCTCTCTTCTCATGGGCTCAGTAATGGCCACTTTGAGCCCTTCCATACACAGGTGTACAAGGGAAGGAGAGGGGATGGGATGGGCAAAAGGAGCCTTACACCATTGCATAAGGGCCATGCACAGTTGCACTCCCTGTGTGCAACAGTATTCCTTGCTTACGGGCCATCCCAAAGGGGTGAGGGAAGAGACAGGAGTAAAGCCAGATATACAGAGCTGGACAGATATGCAGAAAGGATAATGCTGCATCTTCCTAAGCAGTGATGCTGGGGGTGTGCTCCCTACAGTATGCATGCCTGGAACCTCTTGGAGGGATTGTGCATCCTTGAAGAATGTTGCCTTTTGGAGCTCCCCCTGCGATTGTTCTGCTCTGCATCAGTCCTAGCATGAGCCAGTGTCAAAAAGACAAAGCTGCCCTTAAATAGATGCCAGACCACAAAGCATGTTCTCCAGTTGTTTCTTCTAATATATGAGGCATCTCATAGCCATTTGTCATGTGATCGGGTATTAGAATCCCTCCAGTGGCAAGTTGCACATTCATTAGCCTTTATTAACATAACATCACTGAGAAATGTATAATTTTTCCCAGCTATTTTGAGAAACATCAAGCTGGCTCAATACTGGGGTCTCATTTCCCAACATTCCTGACAGGAAGTCTGTTAGAGGAGAATATTCAACATTTTTATGCAAGCTTAGCTGCACCTTCAGAGTGCTTGTTTTAATTTTTGTCAGTGTCCTACGCAATCCTGTGATGTCCAAATCTTTTTTCCTCAGACCTATAGTATAAAAGATCTCCTAATGTTTGCCATTGTCCTCATTGTTTGTTTAAAAAACCTTCCATTTTGTGTGACAGAACCTTGCAGTGATACCAGCACTTTACCTCAGACTAGTGCTCCTGTCTGTGATGAACTTGTAAGTATGAATTTAGGATGTTATTGTTATTTTTCTGAAAGTTTTTGTTCTTTGTTTTTGATCTTACAGGCAAAATATTGTAGAAATTGAAAACGGGAATCACCTAAACTGCCAAAGGGTAAAATGTTTTTTCAAATGCAGTCCTACATATTCCACATACAAAAGAAAAAAGAGAACATTAGACATCCATTTATGAAAATCTTGGCTGTAAAGTTAGGCTCTTAAATCCTCATTTAGGGTCTAACCTAAAACCCACTGAAGTCAATGGAAAGACTCTGATTGACTTCAGGGGGTTTTGGATCAGGCTGCTAGGCACCTAAGTAAGTGGCTGATTTTCAAAAGTGCTGAGGACCAGCAGCTGTCATTGAAGAGAATGGGGATGTCTGGGTTGACAGACTCAGGTTAGTGGCTTGCACTACTGCACTGAAAGTAGGCTGTGTAGATATCATGGTTCGGGCTGGAGCTCGGGCTCTGAAGCCTGGGGAAGGGGGTAGGCTTCAGAGCCTGAGTTCCAACCCAAGCCTCAACTTCAAAGCACTATCTGCACAGTTCTTTTTAGATCACTAGCACAAGCCTCAATTCCTCAAGTGTCTCATCCTGGGCTGGGAGACTTGCTTCTGTGGGCAGTCTGCAGGCAACATGGACGTACCCAGTGAGGCTGTGCACATGCATAAGTACTTTGCTAAATCAGGGCCCGAAAGAGACACTAGTCCTGCAGATGCATTTTATTTGATAATGTAATGCACTATAGCTGCCTTGCCTGCCCCCCAAAGGATTTCCCCAGCCCAGGGGGATCTTGGATGGTGTAGTAGCTTCTATGCTACCCCTCTGCCTAAGGCAGTCACATGGACTGTGGCCAGTCATCCCTGTACAGTCAGAGAATACAAAAGTGGCTTATGGCTACCTTTGCATATATCCCATCCTGAGCTGTGCCAAAAACCCCTCAGCTGTCACTTAGCATCTGAGCCTGTATTATGTTGCATGCATACAAAGGGGCAGAGTTAAGGCTGAGGTACAACTATAACACTGGCAATTCCTACTATTGGAGTGCTTCACTTTGCAACCCTAACATTCTCTTACTGTGTTTGGGTTTTTTAAATGTAATTTCCTAGGTTTATAAAAGACAAACCATAAAAACAAAGAAATTCCAGGTTGGAGAACTTTTTGCTAGACATCCCTAGAACACTGTCATGGATAAGGTGTGCCGGGGTTCCTGGTGAGTGCTTTAGTGTGTGCTTTGAATGAATCAGGGCTTTATTCAGAGGTTTGATCATTATGCAGTGGGTACTACAGTTCTTCCATGTACCAGCTTGACAAATGCTTTATGGTGGATAGTGTTGCCAATGAGTAAAGGTGTGGCAATTCCCATTTGAAGAAGAGTACCACCAAAGTTTACTCACTGACCACTGTGACAAATGTCTTAGTATGGGAATGCTGCTTAAACTGTTAGGTTCCAGTCCTGATGTTATTGCTCAGTTGTTAATTAAATTAAATCCCTTGGGTCCATAGGGCTCAAGTTGTGTATTTTATGACTAATTCATGTGTTTCACATTACTTGCTAAAGCAGTCTCTTAGCTTCTCCAGGGCAGCGTGGAACTGAGTTGATGATTGCCAGTATAGAAAGGGAAGGAACGGCTTTGTTACTGTAAAATATGTCTTTGTGCATTACCCATTGTTATTCTTTAGAAGTATTTTCATTTGAATATTAAATTAAAATCATTCAGCGTAAGCTGTAACAGTTAGAACTAGCTATTCTCCAAATTAGGTTTGAATACAGTTTTTGCTTTAAAATGCATTGTTTATGCAGCTATAAATTTTCATCTCCTGTCCTACTGGCACTGCAATTTAGGGTAGCATTTAAAGTATTCCTTTTAAGATGTGAAACTATTTATTTTGTCAGGCAGAGGTAAAAGAAGCAATTGTTAGTAATATGGCTAATAACCAAAAGGAAGCAGTTTTTCAGAATTCAAATGCAGGAGAAACCAGCTGCAAGTTACTAACTGCACAAAATGTAATGGAGGACCCCAGCTGTTCACACAGAAAAGATTCCAGTCCAGTGGTAATTACTTCTTGAAACTGACAGCAACAGTACACATTGAAGGAAATTATGTTTATTTGTTTGCTTATTTATTTGTATTATAGTAGTCTAGAGGCCCCAGTCAGGGGACCACTATGCCTGTGCTATACAGACAAGTAATGAGAAGGCAGTCCCTGTTCCAGAGAACTCATGATCTAGGAGCTTATATTTAATTATACTATATTTTGTCTATATTTACTATATAACATTAGAAACATAGCAAGCTGTGGAGTTGGCTACAACCAAAAAGAGATGCTTGCTCTATAGTTATAGTTGGGTGAACAAAATGAAACACCATTGCAGAGCCATATTTCTGTCTTGAGGACCAAATCCTAAACACAGAACACAGCACTAGTAATTGGAACGTGTCCTGGAGAGTTCCATGGTTGGGGAGTCTAGAAAGCTATAAATCCTTCCCACCTGAGATGAGGAGCAGCAGCATAGCTGTTCAGTGGCATTCTGCAATCAGACAGATAGATACAAAGTTTTTCATAAGAATACCTATGTGCCTAGAATGACTATCCTTAGATGAAAACTAATCATTTATGGTGTATTTCAGGTGATCTGCCAGTTGAAAGGAGGTACTCAAATACTCTGCATAAACAACTCTGGCACAAGAGAACTGAAAACAGTTCATCTGGTTCCCCAGTATCAAAACCAACATAATTATCTTCAGTCAGGTACAAAGAAAATGAAAATTTAAAATAATGTGTCAGACATTATGCCACAAATCATTAATGTGTATCTATGTGTTTGTGTTTCTAAGCAACATTGGTGCTGAGATGAGCCAGGACTACCACCAATTACTATTTATTATTTTACGGTTTCTGCTAGGTACTTCACAAAAAGACCACAAGATTGCTACAATAGATGTGCTGAAATTAATGAATTGGTCATATGATGTTAATAAGCAGATTACATTCAGTAGGAAGCAGTTTGTCCAAGCCACATGCATTCTCAAGGATGACACCCACTTGCATTTACCCAAGCTTGCCACCAAATGTTACTCTTTCTCCAAAAATAAAAAACAGCTGAAGGGGCATGGATTTAGCATTAAGATATTTAGTGATTTAGTACATTTTCATCTACAACAGCAATGCTGTATGCAGGGCCGGCTCCAGGATTTTTGCCGCCCCAAGCGGCGGAAAATAAATAAATAAATAAAAAAGAAGCCGCGATCACAATTGGTGGCAGCTCCACCGTGCCGCTTTCTTCTTAGGCGGCAATTCGGCGGCAGGTCCTTCCCTCTGAGAGGGACCGACGGACCCGCTGCCGAATTGCCGCCAAAGAGCCCAACGTGCCGCCCCTTCCCCTTGGCCGCCCCAAGCACCTGCTTGCTGGGCTGGTGCCTGGAGCCGGCCCTGGCTGTATGTACATGTAGTTTAATGGTAACATTTTAGTAAGCTTCTCTTTCCTCCAGCAGCATGACTTTCTTAAGAGCCATCTTACCATTGTCTCCTTCCATGTTGTTTTTATTATTATCTGTTGTTTGTATTGCAGTAGTGCCAATGGGCACCAATCTGAGATTAGGGTCTGATTATGTTAGGCACTGTAAAAACATGACTAACAGGCTCAATTTCACAAGGTGCAGAGCATTTCCAACCCTGATTGACTTCAGTAGATTCTGCAGATGCCCAACATATTTGATATAGTGTAAAAAAACCAAACAAGGCCCTTACCAAGAATAAATCTGAAAGATCCAAAGTGAGGAAAATATTTATATTGAAATTCCAAATTCTATTACAGTCACAATATCTCCAGAGGAGAGGATGGTGAAACCATATCAGAAAACTACCATATGTCTTTATCTCCCATTTGACCAGACTTTCTTCCATTTTACTCACCTTCATAGGATAAAACAGAGGGCAATGGGAGGCCCAGTATTAGAAGAACCAGAAATTAAGTCCATTAAAGTCCCAGAGCGATGGACCCCAAAAGTTTCCAATTTCAGCTTTTTTCTGAGCTCCATTTTTTCTTACAACATCTGCAAGAAGGCATCTATAAATTAATTTCAGATAGCAAGATTCATTTCATCAGTCTAATCCTTTTTTTTTTTTTCAAACTGGTGTGGAGGATTAATATGAATTAAAGTGAGTGGGACTGTTCACGTACTTCAAGTTAAGCATGTGCTTGAGTGAATTGCTGAATCAGGACCTATGTAAAGAAACCCCCTCTAGGGCTATGGCCTCCTCCTTATTTTTCTAGCAGTAATTTCTTGTTCATAGGCAAATACTTCTGCTCCAAGTGCATTCTTTTGACTTTGAAAGTTGTAAAATAAGAGTCCGAAATAAATACAATGAAAGTTTCTGTCAGTTACTTATTTGTAAAGGTATTTTAGGCTATAAAATTTGCATTTGGAGTATTTTTAAACATACTCTGATGCATTTAAGGTCAAAGAGTAAAGGCCTCCGATGGTCAACTTGTTGACACACTGGTGATGGCCTTTGGTGGCTGTGTGCAGTTGTTTAATACACCTCTACCTCGGTATAATGCTGTCCTCGGGAGCCAAAAAAATCTTACCGCGTTATAGGTGAAACCGCGTTATATTGAACTTGCTTTGATCTGCCGGAGCACGCAGTCCCGCCCCCCCGGAGCACTGCTTTGCCGCCTTATATCTGAATTCGTGTTACATCAGGTTGCGTTATATCAGGGTAGAGGTGTATTTAATTCCAAAATGCAACCCTTTTGCAAATTTAAAAGAAATGTTTCTGGAGAGATATCTTCTGGGCCCTCCATTAACAATATTTATTGTGGGGGAAGCATGAGTTTGGTTCCAAGCTAATCTATGACAAAGAAGCGGAGATGAAAGAAACTCTGGAAATGTCTTTTTTTTTTTAATAAAAGAAAGGCTTAAAGATGCTAAATGGCACATCTGTTCCCACAAGTTTAGGCTTTGATCCTGAAAACACTTATGCATGTGCTTAACTTTATGACCTATGAGCAATCCAATTAACTTCATATAAACTTTTTCTTATCAGATGTGCCTAACCCTATGACATCTCTGCTGGGACAATTTTTGCCAATTCCAGGTAAAGTGGATCTCAATGAACAACAGGTGAGAAAGCCTTTAAAAAAAAAAAAAAAGAAGAAGAAAAAAGTAAATATACTGTCATTTCTTCTCTTAAGGCTTCTCATTCATTCATAAAATGGGATATTCATTCAACTTAGGGAAGTAACCAACACATTGTAAATTCTGTAAAGCCCTTTAAATCAGAATTTCTAGCTGTTATGTACATGTTACTGTATAACGCTTGGCTAGGTCTGCATCCAGTGTACAATAAGATATATTGAGGCCTGTGATTTCAATATCATTTTTGGAAGAATGAAG